TTATTTCTTGACTTTCTACAAATCCAAATTAGCTATTTTGAGCCTTGAACTTGACCCCAGGAATATTATCTACAGCATGACCTTTATGACCAAATCTTAAAACCAAACATTTTCTTGGAATGAAACACTGTAAATATGTATATATATTTCAAATTTGTATAACTATCAAATTACAACTGTGTCTGTCTCTCCGCCATCAGAAATGAATATACATAATACATATATATGGAACACTGCATGTTTCCCTGGTTTTAAGTTTCCTTGAGAACATCATTTAGAGTGTAGAATTTCTCCATCTATCATAAAACACACACAATTAACTGCTTTACTATCCTTCTTCCCTTTAAAAGGCATAAAACAAAACTCTTACTGATAGAAATTGCTTTGCAAGCTCTCTGAAAGTTTCATTAGGAATAGGAAGAACATTATTCTGATCTTGACAGGCAATAATTATTTGGTCCAATTAATTAAATACTGGATACACCGTTTCTGAGCTCCTGCCCTGTAAGACAAGGTGCTGGGTAAGATCAGTAGTTCCCTATCCAGAAAAAAAGCTACCAATCTCACTGCCATCAAGCCGATTGACTCATTGCAGCCTTGTTATACTGGGTAAACTTCCCCTTGGGTTTCTGAGACAGTAACTATAGAAAGCCCATCTTCCTCCCATTTGAGTGACTGGTAGGTTTGAACCTTGAGGTTAGCAGCCCAACTCGTAACCACTACACCACCTCTAACAGAGGAGAGAATATCAGGAAAGCTAAAGACCACCTGAAAGTCTGAAAATAAACAGGTTTCTCCTGAAGTATCCTGAAGATGAGTTTCCAGAGTACTGGGATATCTGTAATTTAAAGTACTTTAGTGAACTCTAAGGAGCCCTGGTGGCATAGTGGATTACACACTGGGCTGCTAACCACAAGGTCAGCAGTTCTAACCTATGAGCCTTCCCACAGGAGAAAGAGGAAGTCTTGTTCCCATGAAAAGTGATAAGTCTCAGAAACCCACAGGAGTAATAAGGAGTTGTGAATTTTAATGTTCCCTGAATCACAGTATGAGATAATCGCCATTCACATTGTGTTATAAAAAATTGTGATTTGTTTTGGGCTTAACTAAGCAAAGAGAAGGATCACATATAACAGATTAACCAGCACTCAGTAATTACCCATGCACATTTTTCCTTACCTTTTTAAGTATAAGAACTTGCAAAAATAGCAGTCATAGCTTCATCTAGTTTTTCCCAATGACAATAGCTTTTGTAATCAGAATATATTTGCCAAACCAGTAAATTGACATTGGTACAATGCTATTAAACTATAGCCTGTTTGGATTTCAGCAATATTTACATGCGCTTTTGGGGATGCATGACCTATAGCTATAGATTCCAATTCAGTCTATAGGACTGAGTATAACCGCTCCACAAGGTTTCTATGGCTGTAAATCTTTGAGAGCAGACTGCCACATCTCCCTCCCTCCGAGCAGCTGGTGTGTTTGAACCGCCTTGACCTTTTGGTTCTCACGTGAGCACTTAGATCTGCACCAGCACTGCCCCCTTTGGTACAAGACAGCATTATAACTGCAGGATACAGAATTAGTCTACCATCAGAGACATGCCCTTCACTGTTTCACCCATCCTAGTCCCATCACTAAAAAAAAGAAAAAAATTGCCATTGAGTTAATGCTGACTCAAAGTGACCCTATAGGGCAGGGTTGAACTGCCTCTGAATCTTCAAGACCCTGGTGGTTTTGAACTGCTGACCTTGAAGTTTGCAGCCCAATTTGCAACCTAGGAGCGCTAAACCAAAGCTACCACAGGAGCACTGGTGGCACAGTAGGCTGTGTTGGGCTGCTAACTAGGTCACAGTTAGAAATCACCTCGTTTCGTGGGAGGCACAAGAAGTGCTTTTTTTTAAACTCACATGGTTTTAGAAACCCATAGGGGTTGTTCTATCTTCTCTATATAGTCACAATGAGCCTGAATTGACTTGATGGCAGTGTTTTTTTTAAAAGCTTTCTTTTTACTGCTCTTCTCCATTTTGTAATTTCCAGTGTTCTAGCAAAATAATGTGCTTTCTATGGTTGAGTGTCTCAAGGAGAGATGTACCAACTTCATCATATGTTCACCTGATGAAGAACAAGTAGGTTACCAGTTTGGAACACATCTGCCAGAAACGTGTGTGTGCAGGTTTTGGTGTGGGTGTACTCTTCAGTTCCCGAGATGCGCAGGTCTCCTCGTGTTGTATGAGACTGCCCCACATTTCCAGCTTACATCCCTACCAGCAATGTATAAGACAGTGGCTCCACTCCCGCACAGGTACTTATGGTTGTTAGGTGCCAGTCTGCTTCAACCCAGTGACCCCATACACCATAGAATGAAACCCTGCCTGGCCCTGTGCCAGCCTCAGTTGCTCTCATGCTTGAGCACATCGTGGCAGCCAGTCTTAGCATGAATGTTTATTTTAGCCATCATGACCAAAACCGAACCCGTTGCCGTGAGTCCATTATGACTCATGAAGACCTGTGTGTTACAGGTTAGATCTGCTCGGAGTTTTCTAGTTTGCATGTAGTCTAGCACTTTGAACTGCTTCAGCCCACTTCAGTCACAGGCAATGAAGCAACCTGGGTATAGATCAAAAACAAAAAAATAATAATGTAGGAGAATCAGAACATGATGTGGAATGGGGAAAACAATTTGAAGCCCTGCTAGAAACGTACGGCCCTTAGAAAACAAGGGCCGGATGCTCACAGCAACTTAATCTCATCGGCTGGCAGCCAACAGTACTTTTAGTGCCTGTTGCCTTTTCTCCTGACAATAAACCAGTTACCTATTGGGGTTTTAGAACGGCTCACTCTAACTTTTGTGTCCCATACCACAGCTAAAACCCATCATCTTTCCTGTTCATTAGCATTCCAGGTCACCCAGATTAAAAAAAAAAAAATCCTGTCTGTTAGCGTTGCTCTATTTTGGCTATGACCATGCTGTCATAGGTGGCATCACGTTGGTTCCAACTCAGTGACCAATGTACAGCAGAAATACACTGCCTTGTTCTGTGCCAATCTCACAACTGTTCATATGCATGAGCCCTTGTTGCAGGCACTGTGCCAATCCATCTCAGAGGGCCTTCTTTTCCACTGCCCCTCTACCAAGCATGATGTAATGCTCCAGGGACTCTTTCCTCACTTGTCTAAAATACGCTATCTGGCCATCCATGCCTGTAAGGAGCACTCTGGCCGCCTTATCCCAGACCTACCCATACAGTAGGTTAGAAAACCACAAACTTGAGCTACCTAGGACCTCATCATCTGGGTGAGGACATGACAACCCAAGCCCACAGCCATGGGCTAGTCCAACACATAGTAGGGCAGAATAGAATTGCTTCCCAAGGTTTCCAAGAGTGTAAATACATAGCTCATCATGTAAGGAATGGCTGGCAAATTTAAACCACAAACCCTTAAGTTAGTAGCCCAACATCTAATCCTCAGTGCTACCTGGGCTCATCAGTGGTTACCAAAAAACCTAAACTCCCTACGTGTAGATGATTCTGACTCATTGTGAACCTGCAAGATCGTCCTCGACTGGCCACCTCTGTGGAACTCCTGAACTTTTTACAGGGTTACGTTGAACATCTCTCCATGAGCTTATCTGCCATCTCTTTGGTGAATTCTCTCAGGTGCAAGCCTGGATCTGGAACTTGCTCAATCCAAACTCACCTATAGGACAGAACCGATCCAGTGGGTTTCGGAGACTGTAACCCTCCCTTTGTGGAAATAACCTTTTTCCTGCAGAGCTGCTAGTGCCTCAAGCCAATACATATCCACTTTGTCACCAGGAACTTCCCTGGGCTGCCCTTTATAGCTCTGGCACTGCTGTTCCCAGCCCTTCCCACCACCTAATTTGACCCCCATGGGATAGGCCATAGGTCTCTCCATAATCCATCCTTTGTGTAATCAGGCCAGGACATGCAAGCTATATTTTAACCTGGTCACCCCTGTGATGCTAAGACACACTCGGGAACAGGAAACACAGCCAGCCAGCACCTCAACTGGTGAGGGGGAAGACAAGTCTTAATGTTTGATTGCAAGGAATCTGCTATGGTTAGAGGTATAGAGGACTATGGCAAGTTTGGGGATCAGAGAAGTAAAAAGAGGGGTCAAGGAACTGAGGAAATGCCAGTGTTGGTAAAACCAAGGGAGAGAAGGCAAGGTGTAGCAGGTTAAGGACCACCTGTGGCGCAGTTAAGTATCTACCACAATGCCTGAAGGCCTGTTTTTCATTTTTAAGATCCTAGATACACCCCTGCTTCAACAGTTGCCACCCATCTCGAGTTATACTTCCAGTCACATTTGCCTGGCACACACTCCGATCAACTTCAGAGTATATCATCCAACACCCATCTCCCAGATCTTAAAGTGCCCAATATATACAATTACACCCAATATGCTGCCATCTTTGAACTTAGAAAACACCAGGTCATAAACAACCAATATAACCTCAATTTAAGAATATCGTGAACCAAATTAACTCTGAATTTCTACCTTTACCTTCCTGCCATCTTCAGTTTCTGTAAAGTGGAAGAACACTCACCTAGCTTATGAAACCCATTTACCCTGGAGAATCCTGAAAACTCTTGTCCTAGAATTTGTGAAATCACAATGCTGGCTGCGGTGGGCTAAGGAGACAACAACACAGACTTCTGGCAAAGAAATTTATTACGTGTTCACCATCAAACTTATGATCTTGGCCTTTCCTTCTTGCCTTTGTATAAGGCCAAGAGGGACACATTGGCTACTTTGACAACCTTAAAGCGGACTCCAGGAATGTCACCGACAGCATGACCTTTGCGAC